TGTGGGTGGGAACGGCTTGATGAGTGTGGGTGCGGGCTGACTCAGATGTGACTCACACAGGGAATATCCGGCTCACCGCTAATGCATGCCGTCCGTCGCTGCAGGACTTGGAATTAGAGTTTCACCGGAGGTTCCGATGAGCATGGACCCAGTTAACGTCGTGGATCTGTTAACGACTAGTGTAAACTTCGAACAATGTGCCCTCGACCGAGATATTGACCGGACGCACGATTCGACGAGCAAGAAGGTCGCCAGATGATGCTAGCAGAACGATGACCGAGAATCCGACAGATAGAAGTTGTATGCCTACCCACCCGATACGTCGAACAATGCCAGTTAGTTTGCGCGCAACAGACGCTGATGTAGTCGACCATGATCCCATATTCACACCTCGTAATAGATGGAACGGCGCGGCCGCCAGCGAGGACGCAAATAATCCATGGGAGGTCTGGGTGTAAGTTGCATTATTACAGCCGTGGACACTTGATGATGATGATCACTCGCCCATTTTGGAGAACAATGCGTGATTTGAGCGCGTTGCGTGGAAACTAGGCACGAAGAAGTAGCTCTAGACGGGCCAGTTTGCGAAAGGACGAGCGCCGTGCGAGCCCGTTGATGACAGGACAATGGGGCGGGAGCGCGGGAGAATGCCAAAGCGTGATTGTGAGCAAGGGTGAGCGATATCGACTGGAAGTAGCCTGTAATGTGTATCTTGTGCTTGCCGCGGCTTCCCTGGTTGTCGTGTCTGTCAAATACTAGTCCATTGCTGAGAAGATGACTCCATGAAATGTGAAGTAAACTTCAGTGCGGCGAGTATCAAGTCTTGATGTTACGGTTACATTTAGAAATGGGACATGAGCGCAGCATACACAATAAAAAAGAAGGCTACCCATAATTCGGGTTATACTGACACAGATTCAAATTGTTGCAACGCTAACTCGGAAATGATATCGAGGTCAAGAGGAAATTTCGTTTGAACCGGAAAGCAAGGCTGTGGGTGCGCTTGGGTGGGGGTGGATCGTATTCAAGTTGGAACTGCGATGCAGTAGTCAATGGGCAGTCGCAGAGGCCTGTTGAGCGACGAGCATAAGTACTCACCCAACTGAGCGGATAGATGAGCAGGAAGCGCCTACGCCGTCAGCAGACGGCCTCGTACGGATTACCACGGCCCATCCAGTCCCAGAGCACAGATTCACTAGTCCATGATGAGGAACGAGTCCGAACGGCGGCGCGAGCGCAAGTACACAAGTCATCAGGATTGTAGTCTGTGCCGTCCAGCATCCGGAGGGAAATCGACGGGCCAAATGTCTTCTGAGTTCTCCGGAAAGGGTTCTGGTTCGGCAGCTCCGTGGTTGTGACCTTTTTGCAGTGGTGGAAAGAAAATGAGGTCATAAGCGCGCGTGACTGATGTGACGCACAGCCTCGGCGCCTTGACAACAACAACCATGAAATCAGCCTTCCAGAGACTTTTTTTCCCTTTGATATCCACCCCGAGCGTTGATCATATAAGAGGCGCAATCTTGACTGGGTTCGAATGCGGAATACATCCTATCTTTTGGATTCATGATACCGTCGGTCAACACGAGACGTTTCAAGTTCCTTCCCATGACGAATCTTCAGCGCAGCCACGGAGAGGTACGCTCACAAAGATTACTTTGATGTCTTCTTCACTAATACAGTATCAGTAATCGCAGACTTAACACTGGCACTGAATCTGTTCTCTGTCGAATGGCCAGACTGACGTCCCTCCCTCGGACATCGAAAAGTGTCGCCGGAGGACGTGCAAATTAATATGGTCCCCCTTAATCTTGAACTCTATTTTCTGTCGGCTGACGCTCAAGAAGCTCCGCCGGTCCAGATTCAACAACTGTGCCGGTGGCCCAAGCAAGCGCTTAGCGATGGGTCGATCAGTTGCTTAGTCGGCGTCGGCCGTCGCCTCCTCTTCAGCCACAGGGAAAGCCTCCCCAGGTACGTCCGATCCGTCAGACAGTCTCAGGCTGGCTAATGATTATCCATATGCATAGGTCTTGCTCTCATGCATCACGGTATTGCGGACTCGAACAAAGCAAGCCCCGACCAAATCACCATGAGGCTCGCAACCGCAAGCCCAATATGGAAATTAACAAGAGGAACTCATCCCCTCGGACTCGGATTTTCTCGGCTCAACCAGAAAATGATGTGGATGTGGACAACGTGATAATATGAAGGGGCGACACTGGCGATGGCGCATATCCGACGAGCGCTACCCACAGTGAGTCAGTCAAATCTGTGGAAAAAGCCCAATCTCCTCCTCTTTCATTAATTGCTCCACACCCCAGCGCTAATGCTTCGTAGATTCCCGCTGTCCGTCACTCTTTCGAATCACGGAAAAATTGAGTGTGCGTTTCTCAGATGACTGATTACTGAATGGAACACAACGGCAACGTAGATTTAGCTCTCATACTTTCGGGTGCACCATATGGACACGAGGCTCGCAAGTGCCGAAAAAGGAATTGATCATGGCAGGCTTGATGAAGGTGCGGTATTTCGATCGGCGACCTAGGCCTGAGCCTTGTCTAACTTCCACCTATGGACTACCTCAGACCACGACTCTTTGCTACGAAAACAGGAAAACGTTGGCCAAGCGGCGGGCTCTGGCTGGCCGATAACTTCTGTGCATGCTATTACTCTTGTCTGTCTTCCGAGGCGATCCCCATCAGAAACGCTTTGGCTTCGAGATACCCGAGCTTGCTTTGTGGGTCCCATCACCCTCACTCTCAGTGGCGGCGCCGCATCAGATGCTATTGCCCGTCGGATTCCGGAGATCAAGCGAAGCTGACAGGTCACTCCCATCGACATGTGGACAAGAAGGGGCAGGATGGACCCCAGTTTCCGGTGCGACTCTGAACCTTAACGCAGCCGTCGCCGCCCGTTCGGCGCCTTTTGGTCGACCAGCGGGGATTTGCGAGGTGCAACTGCTAGTCAGGCTTCTGATTCTCTCATCGATGACCGTCGCCGCATAATGAGTTGTTGTATCCGCACCTTTGGTGCTCGAAGGCACCCTAACCCCAAGATGGAAGATCAGGTGCGAGCGTTTGGACCCCTGATCAGATAAGTGATCCTATCAAGTATTCTTCTTGGGGGCCGACACCGCCCATGGCCATAGCTTTGGACACTGCAACGGCCGACTGCGTGCCTGCCCGCTCCTCGAAGCCTCCCTCGAACATCGGTGGCGCGACTTCCACTGGGCAGTATAAGTCGCCGGAATCATTGAACCCTCAAAGGACTTCAGTTCTTACATTCTCGAGATGTCGCGCTAAACTCTGGCCTCCAACTCTAAGAAGTGACCGTCTCCATTCTGGCCCACTAACTCGGTTTAGCACTCGGCATTCGGGCCGGCCGGCAGTTTCCTGTTATGGCAGTCGTTTCGTTGGTTCCATTGAACGACTACGGTGCCGCCTGCCAGCAATACGAGGCACAGCTCGTACACAATATCATTGCGCTGCTGGTAGCTTGGTATCGCATCTCCTATGGGTCCTTACAGTGGCGTCCATGAATGTGGATGAAGACCATGTTTGAAGACGTCGCTGCATTTGATTTTAACTCTTAAAACATGGTCACCCTTCCACTCGCCACACTCCGCCCATGGCGAGTCTGAACCAGATCCATCGATCCTGGAGTTTCATGGCCAACTACTACAAGATATTTCAATATACTAAGCACGTTACTAGTAATTATAAATGCCATTCCGCGTTTTTATTTCCATTTTTTATGTTGACCACTCCGAGTTCTCCGAGCTGCGCAGGATAGCAGCGCCACGGTGGGTCCCAGCGTCTACACTCCTCGAGGCGCCTGCGGGAATAGAAACACGATCGAGCGCTGTGTCGATCGCGATGACAGTTGGGCGTCTGAGGCTTATCTATAATCTAATCGCACCTAGATGGAGGAGGAATTCAAGAGGAATTGGATATTTCTCCACATCGTCCAGGCGACGGTCCGGGATCGTGAGATGTATTTGATTCCGCTGGTTGAGTCGATGTCCTCGTCCGTTGGAATGTGAAATAGGATGCGATATGCGTCCATGGGATGGTATGGAGGGGGCCGAGGTCTGCATGGGAATCCGGCAGCCAGCGACGGAGCCATCGGCCGGGACATGACGCTGGTGAAGGCGCTGCTCGGGCCTTACCCATAACCCGCGCTTGGACCATCGCATGTTGCTGGAGGATTTCCCCCCGCGGTCCTCCGAGATTCATTTACCTGGGGGCTACATACACAAGGTCCGAAAGGCAGAGGGCAAGGCAGATTCGCAAGCTCGCGTAGATGGTAAGCCAGCTGCCAGAAAGGCCTGCCCACTGTCCTGGGTCGGCGGTGCTTAATCGGGAAGGCTGAAGGCGATGAAAAATGATGGCATGATCGATTGGTCCGGACGATTCCACGCTGTCACAGGAATCGAGAGGGAGGAAAAAGACGGCCATGGAGTGAAAGATATAGTGGCGGAGGGGAGGTACTGTAGAGGAGAGGAGAGAATATCGGTAAGAAATGAATATTTGGCGATGCTGTGGCTACAGACTCATATGACCGAATACCCGACGCACGATCGGTCCGAAGTCCCACGGGGGCAAAACGGCAAAAGACAATAAAGCAACTGCTAGATCTAAGATTCGCGATGAGGATCTGGAAAGCTTTTCGAGACAGAACAATGAGCGTGTATAAAACCTAGCGACGTGCTTACCCCGGTGCCCTCTGGCTAATTGTCGTTATTGTCTCGAACGTCGCAGCGCTCCATCGGCCCATCGCAACGGGAAGCTAGCGCGAATCGCAGAAAAGTAGAGGGTCAGACAAGGCGCGCGAAAACTCTCTCTCTTGTCTCCCCTTTTGTTCTACGCTCGCTGCGCCCTCTGTCTTTCACGACCCTGCGATAACTCTCTCTCCCTGCCTTCGTTCACGACGCCCGACGCCGACGCCAGACGCCCAACTCGCCTTCGTTCCACTCGCCCCAAGTTATTACCTCTTCCATCATCATGCCTGCCCTTCGCACCCGCGACACCCGATCCAGTATGTGACACGTCACTCTGCCTATTTTCTCCTCCTGACGGCGATGACGCTCCAGATGCCCTTGAGCTTGTCCTCGACCCATCCTCGTCGACGAGCAAGCCACCACCACTCTCCATTAGCATCATCTCCCCTACACCACGCACACCCGCCTTCTCCTTCCCCGTGACCCACAATCTGTCCGACAGCCCCTTCAGTAGCCCCAGCAACTCGCCATTCGAGCCTGACCTCCGCAGTCTCGACTTGAGCAATCTGGATGGAAGTGGGAGTGATGACGAGCCACCAGCGCCGCCACCTGCGCCAATGGCCACGTTTACTTCCACCTTCTCCGCGCTCCCACCGCCGGCCCCACTTCCTCTCAGCTCTTTCACCCGCACCCTTTCCCCACTCCCTTTGACCATCCCTCCCCCCTCGACCTCCGCATCCAAGCGCAAGGGCTCAGCGTCAGCAGCCTCCCCCGGCGAGCGCAGGCCTAAGAAGGGCGACGACGACTATGTCAAGCGACCAGAGAACGCCTTCATTCTCTTCCGTCGTCAAGCGTGTGCAGAGCGAGATGCAGTCTCTGCTCCAGCCTCGCTAGTCGATGCCCCTTCATCTTCTGCAGCGGGGAAGAAGGCACGACAGGCCGACCTGAGCAAGACCATATCTGCTCAGTGGCGAGCTTTGCCAGCTGAGGAACGGGCCAAGTGGGAGGCGCTTGCGAAGGAGAAGAAGCGGGAGCACGCGGAGAAGTACCCCGGCTACGTCTACCGCCCACAGAGAAAGGGCTCAGCGCCAACTGTACCTCCAGAGGGCACTTTCGTCAATACCATGCCCACCAGTCCTGCTGTCAAGCGACGCAAGATGTCGGCTACCACGACGACAACGACAACAACGACAACGGACATGCCTCAGCCCGTCGAGTTTGTCCTCCCAGCTCCAAGACCGCGGTCCCAAAGCCACGACCCTGGCGCCAGGAGGTCGCCTATGCCGTACCAGAGTGTGCAAATACCCAACGTGTACTCGTCGAACCAGCCTTCTCTTTTCGTCCCGCCAGTTTCGCCAGACGACCAAAACATGTCGTTGCTACCGATGATTGCCCAGTCTTCGCAGTCAAGGTCCGACAGCGGTTTCGACTACCTTCCTTCCTTTGGAAGCGCTTTGGAGTTTGAGGCGAGTTATCAGGTGCGTTCTATGGATTGTAGTCGTGCTCATATCTCACTCAAGGCAAATCAGGCCTCGGATTTCTTAAAAGCCATGTTCCCGCCCTCTTCCGCATCTTTGTCGATGCCGCCTTTGTCGCTATCTTCATCGTCTTCCGGGGAGTCACCTGCAAGCTCGACACCGAGCTCGCCATATACGCCTGCTGCCTCAGTGGTGTCGCATTACGTCTCATCAGCTCAGACCGCCACACCGACCCCAGGAGCTTTGCTTGACGCCGCTTACTCCAACGACATCAACTACTCCAGCGAGTCGTCAGCATTGTCCCAGCCTTGGACTACTTCGGATCCGTGGACCGCCTATGGCGGTTTCTCTGCTTCTGCCAACGCAGGGAACGAGGCGATGGACTTCGACTTTGACTTCGACCTTGCGAACATACCCAGCGTTGGCGGTGCATGGGCGACTGCGGCCCCAGACAACGGTGCTGTGGAAGGTGGCGAACCGTTACCGGTTGCGTCTTTTGGGATGGGAGAAGGAGTAAAGGGGTTCGACATGAGTATGTCGATGGACTTTGGGATGCACTTGCCTTTGGGCGATGATGCGTCGTTCGAGGGATGGAATGGAAGTGGGTGGACGAGCACAACAGAGAACTTATGAGCGAGAACGAGGATGACCCAGCTGCGGCGATTGCGCCTTGGCTGATGACCATTACACGACCTGGACGACGACGAATATGACCACGAGGATATTTCCCCTCCCCGACCACACTTTTTTCACCAACCACGAATCCACATACTGTCCTCGTTGGTCCTCGTCGTCGCTTTATGACCTTACTGCTCGCCGCGACCAGCGATGCAGCTTACCTTCTTGCGCTAGCCGCGCTGTCCTGTCTCTTCTCGCCTAGCGCGTTCTCTGTTCCCTTTCTGCGGACACCCACATTCCCTTTCGTTGCTCGACGCATCGGCATCCACTCCTTTCCCTACTCATATCTTTATCCCCTCATAATACCCCTCCTCAATCGACATGGCCTTATTCCCTGTATATAGACGGACTACGTCCCACTCCTCCATCTTCACTCTTCTCCGCATTGTACTATAAACACCCTCATCCGCATTTCCTGCTGTACTCTCTTGCTACCTGCTACATGCGCGAGCCGCTACCGCTTCGACCCCCACCCTCGATACCTACCTACCTACCCCACCGTTGACGCTTTTCACGTTTCTCTTTCGGATACGATTCACTCGCCACTTATCGTTAACCGTTAAGTAAATTAATGACCCGTGTTGTTTATTTGTTGTCTGTTGTAGGAGTAGCTGTAGTGTAGGACTTGTGAACGGGAGAATCTACGGATTAACTTGCCTTGGCTGGTGCGCGCGCGTGCCCTTCGGGAAACTTCGGGGAGGGAGGGGCCTGAGAGAAAAAGGCATTCAGCCTTCCTTATGCGGATAAGTGCAAAGAGCAGAATGATGGGGAGAAGGACCGTTCATTGCAGAGAAGCAGCGATCCTATGATATGATGTATGATAAGGAGGAGAACAATAAGCTGTGGCCCACGAAGGCGACGATGGTTTTTTCGAAGGAAGGAAGAAGCGGGGGTGCACGAGGGGGCAAAGAAACGTCGGTATACGCAATGCATTACTGTACGATGTTTTTGGGGTCACGTTCGCGTTAGGGTGGGGGAGCGGGAGGCAGGGAAGCGAAACGCGGCCCGGCCCGCGAGGCAGCGGGTCCTTGAGGGTCGCTTCCCCGCCCCCCGCTAGCCGTTGTGGACGGAGGCAAATGCAATGGAAGGAATATAGAGGGACATGATGTATAATGGCCATGGAAAATAAAGCGACAATAATACCGTCCGCGATCGGCGGCCGTCGGGAGAGCGGGAGAGCAGGCGCGTGATGCAGCTCGGGATCAGTGCCCTGGGAACGTTTTCATTTTACGCTGGTCATACGATTAGATGGACCCTCTGCGAAGATGGAAAGATAAGTTGCGGCCATGGCGATTTCAAGGATTACCTGCAGGGACCATCGACGCCGTACCGTGACCACGCCCGCGGCCAGAGTTAAGAACGCCGATGTGCGCCGAGGCCGGCCGCTGGTGCGCAGTGTGGTCATGGTCGGCAAGAGCTTCGAGATGGAGTGTTTGTGGCGCTGGGCTGGACTTCGGTGGCCGGGATAAAATGAACCCAATCATGGAAGGGAGGCTCGGAGTGAATGATTTATTCGCCGAGCTGTCGTGCACTAGGTACAGCGCGAAAGTATAGTCAAAGTCAAAGCGGGATCCGTCAAGAGCTAATTGTTCTGCGATCGTGTCGGTGCGTGAGCGACATGGACACAGACACGCACCGAAGGAGGTGCGGGCTTCCCCCAGCGAGTCAAGCGCGTCGATCCTCCCACAGATGTCGCGTATGGGACTCGAGACGTCACTGGTCGGAGAGGTATCATTTTTTTCTCGCTTCGCCGCGTCCGCTTTTCTCCGGCGGCTGACTGTCCAGTCGGAGCGAGGCGACAAAGAACTGCGGAAGAGGAACACGGGCCACACGGAGGTAAGGCAAGCGAAATGAGCAGTCTGTTCCAGAAGTAACGACTCAAGTAAGCATGCGATTGTGTAGAATCAGATGGTGGAAATGAAATCATACGCGCGTACTGGGAATCTAAGCGAGGAAATTAACTGTATTGTGGGCATGTGTATTCGTCCACTGTCGGGTATGTCGGATGAATGTCGGCCGAGATGCGATAAGATTGGTCGCGGCCCCGTCAGGCACTCAGGCTGTCCCATGTCCGGCGGAAATAAAGAAACTCGAAGCTGCGAGTGGCCGAATTGCTTCATGACTGAGCTCCGTGACTGAACGTACTGAACGCGAGCAAAATTAACAACAGGTCCGAGTGATGTTTCTGATTTCATTAAAATATTGCTGTCAGCGCTGGTTACGATTATAATTTTCATATATGCCAGTGAACATACCATTTCCATGTTCATTTGGAGATGGACCTACTGGCCCACAAGCTGACGGGGCAGGACTCTTGGCGCAGAACCTGGAATCAATATAGTCAGAAATGAATTCGAACAGACTTCTCGAGACTTACGGTGTACTGTACCGTATAATTTGCAACCTTCCAAGTGTCCTAGTGTGCCAGGTTCCTCAGGCCACGCAGGACCATTTGCCTGGCCCTCGTAGTTTATGTCCTATCCCGCCAACGACGGAGAAAACCGGGATGCGATGAATGACGGTATGTGAGAGTTACCGCATATGGCGTGTGGACGAGCAAAGTATTCTCCGGTCGAGTCATTCCGGGACACAGATTTCCACGAGCAGTTCCCACTAGCGATCGTTATTCCCACCCGCCGAAGCCTTGACGGGAGTTAAAAACTAGGCACCGTGTCGCAGAACGGTGATAAGGCGGCGATGCTGTGTATTGCGTATTGTCTGCCGGTACCAAAAGAGGATGCGCCCTTATGAGCATGTCGGGGCGCGAAGTCTTTGAAGATTCCGCTTTTGGCTGAGCCAGAGAGCTCAATATGAGTTCCCTGGCACTGTCGGCCTGAGTCACAGAAGCTGGAGCGGTATGAGCGCAGACCTTGGGATAGTCTTACGAGCAAATCAGCGTGGGTGCGTATGCGGCCACTAAGGCATTCGGCCATGAATGCTGACGTGGAGGTGCATGTCACAGGTGCATGTCACCACAGTCACAGGTGACAAGTGACAGTCACCACAGTCACAGGTGACAAGTGACAGTCACCGCTCCGCTAAGCGCTTCATTAGCTATTTCTTAAATGATTTAAGGCGGGCCAACAAGCAGATAGTGTTGACTAGGGCCAGGCCCAAGCCCTGAAGCCCGGCCCGGCCAAGCCCTCGGAAGCCCGGCCCAGGCCTTGCCAGGCCCTTGAAGCAGCGTAGCACAAACTGACGAATAATACATCAGGAAAACTAGACACAGCTGGGGCTACACCCCAGCTGTGAAAAAATCCCACTAAATACAGAATAGCACACAGGTGGTCTACTATTGTCTCCATAGATTGCAACCCAAGGAAGGGAATTTTATGTACTTATTTAACAATTTGCCAGAAAATTAAAATACTCAGTACACACTTAGATATTAGCATAGTAAATAACCCATACTGTACTATTTCAATCAATTTGGCATGTCACTGTCACACCCAATTTTCGGAAACAGAATGATTTTTTTTTCTTGATTTTCAGATTTTTTGCATGGCTTTTTGATTCATCAAAAAGCAGTGATCCGGCCGAATTGAACGAAATAGTACAGTATGATGTGTCCATGCTACTGGGGGCAGGATCATAATGTCATGTACAGCTTTATATCCCAAGGAGGATTGGTCACATTTTACAGCTTTTCTTACCAATTCAGGGCTTTAACAGCAGTGATCCCAAAAATAGAAGTGTGGAGCAAATAAATTGCTAATGCCAGTGCCAAACATGTGCATACATTCACACAACATCTGCTTAATATAAGAGTAACATCAGTTGAATATTGAGCCTTCAATACATGGTGACCAGTGACTATTGAAGCTGAATCAGTAAGAGTGACTTGAAATACAGTATACTGATACTTACACTGATTATTGCAAACAAGTAGCAATTGGACCTGAATGTGCTCATTTTCAGATCTGAAACTACCCTGAAATGGGGCTCATGGCGATCTTGTTATTTCATTCAAGAGGAATATTATTTCATTTTAAAGCATTAAATCATGGTGTTTATCATTGATAAGATATCATCTTAAAGTAAATGTAGCTTTAGGTCTATTATCATTTGTAGCAAGTCTGAAGCAACTATTATTGATGCTTAATTTATCCTCAGAAACAATATTTTCTGCGGGATTCAGACTTGAAATTTCAGAGTCTAGTCAGTCTGAATGACATGAGAAAATGTGACACGGCATGCACTGATGCGGTGGTGGTGACAATCACCGCCATTCTCAGAGGTGTATTAGCACAAACTAAATGTAAGGGGAGCATGTGATGTGACAACTGTGACTGATCACGTGACTTGTCCGTGCGCAGATAGCCCTGTACTTAAGTAGTTGGCCGTGGGGCTGTTCCCCCGGCTTTGGTATCAACTAGGCACCTGGACCCTCATCCCCTGATACTAAAGTCAGTTTGTGAATCTATTCCACTGTGATGATTCAAAAAATATCAGCATAGTAACATTTGTGGTAAAACTCATAGTTTTTTGGAAATAATTTTTTTGTTTTCCAAAGAATCTTCAAGTTTTTTAGCCCAGAAAATGACAAATTGAAATTTTTATATATAATCAAGATTATCAGCACTTGGTTTCATTTGAGGGAGATTAATTTGATGAGACAAATTTGAGAACAGGTTCAAATATTTTACAGTGAGAATGAATGGTTTTCACCAACCAGTTATAGCTGTACAGCTGGAAACCCACAATTTTTCAAAGAAAAGCCTTGGTATCCTCAAAAAATTATTTCTGAAATTCAGAGGCTAGTTCAAAATTTCTGAAGACCATTTTTTTGCGGCTGCTGAATCTGACTATAGTCAGAAATTGACACTTTGAGATAAATTTTTGGAGTCAGATTTCGATCATGAGGTAACATCACAGAGCAACCTCAGACCTCAGAGCTGACAGCTCAAACCTCAATCTTGCACTGCAACCTCAATACACAAAGCACACCCCTCAAA